ATCTCAAATGATTTCAATGCCGCCCTGTTTTTATACTGCCTGCTTATATGTAATACTATATATTGTGAGAGTGGTGGCCCTTTTGAAGGTAGGACGCTGTTATTTAAGTGGTTTATCCGGTTAGTGGAATAGTTCGTGAATGGAGCAGAGGAAGGGAAGAGACATCTGGCAGTATAGTGGCATGTGCTATCATCTCCCTTACACTTGGGGTATGTCACAGTTTCTGCTGCAAATGTAGGGGGTTTTGTGAGGCTTTCAAATTGGGTATAAAAATTCACTGCAGGTTGAAATTTGTCAGGCAAATGCTCTGTTCCTTCCATAGCATTTATCGTCTGTCTTGTATATATTGCCCTTGGGAGTAAAGACACTGGTTTCAGGCCCATGACAGGATTTTTTTTTTTCAATTGGTCTGATTTGTTTTTAAATGAGAAGAAAGTGAGTTCTCTCCTCCCCAGAATGGATTGCTAACTACAGGCTGTTGACAACAGCAATATAGTTAGCAAATATATGACTCTAACACGGCTCTTTGCAGGCGATTAGCCTGTGCAATAGGCAGACCTCCATAGTATTTCTCAGCTGAACTATTTAAAAGACCAAAGTACGATCAGCCAGTCAAGCTGCTACATTTGAGAACGATGGTGCTGTGTGCCGAAGCAGTGTATACATGTTGTCAATGTCCCATCTATAATGTGCCATTTTGCGCTGCCGTAATGATTTCCTTTCCCTCCTGTTCCCCCAGGACTTAGCCTGGATGGGAGCCTTGACACAAATAGGTTCACCTCCCGTAAGGATCCATAATGCAGCGGTGGAAAATAAAAGAGTACCTGTTGCATGAGCTGTGTTGGAGCCGTATTATTCCTTCGGTGTCTTCTGAAGTTGTCTGATGAGATGCTCTTATTTTAACTGCTCCTCGGCAGCATCTGGCTCATCCTCCATGGTGTATCTCCTGTGGAGTGAGAAGTAACATGGGGCAACATGTAGGTGCATGGTGAGCTGGGGACGTTGTGCAGAGGGATGGGGAGCAAAGGCTGCGGGTGTAGCTTTCATACTGGCAGGGATACCCCAGGGTAGCCCTCCCTCCTCACTCTGCCTGCTACCAGAGTGCATCCTGTCTGTCTTTCCAATGTCTTTCTCACCTTGCCCTCAGTTACTTTTGAGTGGTGCCTCCTAAATCTTAACAGGGAGTTGCTGGGTATTTGAGTCAAGGGAACGAAGAGGGAGAGGGCAGGGCCAAACCAGGATGTTTCCTCAGTGCCCCCCAGAGGTTCCCCTTTGGGGATGAACAAGATGGGGGCATTGAACCCCCTTTCCAGAAGCAGTGGGACTGCGTTTGGGGTCTAACTGTGAGCTGGCAGGAGGGTGAAGGGCTGGTTGCCTTAACAGATGTCCCGTGGGTCTCCTCTACTCTGCCTGCCCCGTACCTCAGAGGGGGTCACCGTAACCCCTCCTGCAAGGAAAGGGAGAACAGGTCCCACTGGCCCTCCTGGTGCCTCTGCACCCAGCCAAGGGGTGTGGGGGTGTACCAAACACAGCACCACAAGTGGTGAAACGGAGGGGAGAGACTAGTTTACCATTTGCTGTGAGATGGTTACTCCTCTGCCTTTTGGGGCTTGTGGATTACTCTACTAAAGGGTATGTGGGATAGCCAGGATTGTCAGTCCCAGGTGCCTGAATACATGAATCTGTGGAAAATGTGAGATAAACACTGCTGAAATCATCTGGCTTGCATGTATGGGAGAGCCCACCTGTACATTATTTGTGTAGTAATAGCTCCATGTATTTGCTGTATGAAAGCTTTATTCAAATGCATTTTTTCTATTCTAGCAACAAAGCATTAATACCAATATTATAGAATCACAGAGCGGTTTGGGTTGGAAGGGAGATTAAAGATCATCTAGTCCCTGCCATGAGCAGGGACACCTTCCACTAGACCAGGTTGCCCAAAGCCCCGTCCAGCCTGGCCTTGAACCCTTCCAGGGAGGGGGCAGCCACAGCTGCTCTGGGAAACCTGGGCCAGTGTCTCAGCAGCCTCATAGTGAAGAACTTCCTCCTTACATCTAATATAAATTTACCCTCTTCCAGTGTAAAGCCATTACTCCTTGCCCTATCACTACATACCTTTGTAAAACGTCCCTCCCCACCTTTCCTGTAGGCCCCGTTTAAGTACTGGAAGGCCATTTATAAGGTCTTCCTGCAGCCTTCGCTTCTCCAGGCTGAACAACCCCAACTCTCTCAGTCTGTCCTCATAAGGGAGGTGCGCCGGCTCCCTGATCATCTTTGTGGCCCTCCTCTGGAATATAATAAAGCCTTTATTTGTATATGGCTTGAATTATGCGAAACCAAAATTTGTAGGATGAAAGATGATTTATAGTTGGTTGGTCTCTGCTAATACGTGTCCTCGTTGCCCACTTGTGTGTTTACTGCAGAAGGCTGCAGAAAGATGGGTCGGGCTTCAGCCGCTGAGACTGCTGAGGAAGGGCAGGCCCAACGCTGAGCTCCTCCAGGACCCCAAGCCTCAGCAGGGTGCGGGTGGGGTGCGTGGTTTCATGGTGCCTCGGGGGTGATGGGCCGTGCTGGCACGCGGTGGCAGGACCAGCCCGACGGGGACCGGGGCGTGCAGGACCTGGCGCGGCGCCTGTCGCTGCTGGGGTGTCCCCGTCAGGGGTGCTCTCACCACGGCCCTCGTTAATGGGCCTCTGCAGAGTGAAAATCAAACGCGTTGCTTCTGACGGGAGGATCAGTGACAGCAAGCAGTGAGTTTTGGCAAAACGTCGAAGTCCAAATCCATTCGTCATTTTGTCCCCAGGCTGTTCCATTAAGTCAAGGCTTCTAACTTCGGTTTGTATTTGATACTGTATTTATACTGAAGGGAAACCCTATTTTTCCAGGAGATACTGAGCAGGGCATCCCAGAAAGGGAGCATCTGAGTCCCTTCCCATAGTGTGCACAGTATAATTTGAATTCTGTGTAGATAGTGAGGTACAAGCGGCGGCACGGCTGAGCAAGCAGAGCAGGGGGATAGCTGCATACGGTGCAGTGCTGTGGTCCCACAGGAAGGCACGCAACAGCCCTGAGAAAACTCTGTTGCATGGCCATCAGCAGGAGATAAAAAAAATAAGCTGGAGTTATCACCACCCCTTTCATGGCATTTTTCTATAGCTAACATACCATTTCCTGTACAGTTACACACATCATTGCCTAGTGCCATGAACTTAACTCTTATCAGCACCCCGGTGGGAAAGCCCGTGTTATTTACAATAGGGCTTGTTTCAGTGTTGCAAGCTTCTTTTCAATTAAAACAAGCAGCAAATTAAATATTAAATAGATAAGTAGGGAAAGTGAAATTAATTGATTTTCCGGCACTGAGATGTGGTAGACAGAGGAAACTTAAGGCAATTTCACTGAATTATATTACCTTCATTTGTGTATATTAAGTACGTGAAACTTGTTTTAAAAACTGGGTAACTCTCAATAATTTATGTGCAGTGGAGCACCAATCTTTAAAAAAACCCTAAAAAACCCCAAACCCAGCACATGCTTCAGGTTGATTTTTATTAAAGGAGAAATACAGTAGAGCTATCACTGTTAATACCAACATTGAAAATTTACTTTAGTTCAAGAAGTCATCTCCATGTTGACTTACTGTTTTGTATCGTGTACTCAGTGTGCATAGTATAAAAAAGGAGTCCAGGAACTACAAAACACCCCTTTGGACAACTTCAAACTGTCTCTTGATCCCAGCTCTTCAAACGTTTCCTCTTTTGACGCTTGGGGACTTGGAACCTTTTCATTCGGTCATCTGCTTACTAACCTTGGTAACAGGTGTTTAGTGTAATACATGTTTAGCAGCCCTGGGATTGCCTCCCAGGTGAAACCCAAGATTGCTTTACAGGGTGCAGGAGGCAGTTGTGCTGGGACTCTGCTGTACCTGGCAGCCAGCTACTGCCAAGCTGCAGCCTGCGGGCAGGATCATGAAATATTTTGAAGTGTGTCTGTTTATATATGTATATGGGTTCTTTTTTTTTTTTTTTTTTCCTGTAGCAATCACATGCTCAAGAAGCAGGTGCACTGGAAGTACAGAAAGGTAGGCTTCCACACTGGAAAGTTGAGGGGGGAAAAGCTCCATCCCAAACCAATGAATCTGGGTTGAGGGCTGCACCTCACCTTTCTCGTCTTCTCCTTTCCCTCACACCACGGGGCCCTCCCAGAGGCAGTATAGGACCACAAGCTCAACAATATATATTTATAGATCCCAGAAACATAAAGGATTCAGTGTGGAAAACAATATTTGACTATGCTCTATAAAAAAACCCCAGCCAAGCCCACAGGCATTTCTTCAAGGTGTCTGATGGTGATAGATGAGCTCTTCTTCCCCTCATCTAGATATTTCCTCTGCCTCTAGCCCTGTCGCCTTTTAAAGCAGCAAGGGGGGGATTTTGTTATGTTTTATACTTTCATCTTCAGCAGTGATCTGTCTCTCTCTCCATGGGTCCATAAGCATGCTAATCCCTCAAGTCTCTTACGCAGCATAATTTTCATCTTAATTTTTCTATTTCTCAATGTTAAATGGGTTTGCCAGGGGAACAGGAGGTCATTTCCTGTCCCTGCCAGGTCATTAATTCTCTGTGAAAACAGTGCGATCTCACGCTTCTCAAGCAAACAGAAGCATTGGGAAGAGGCAGTGTCATGTGCAAAACACTCGGCTGTGCTGCAGCAGCTGGAGGAGCAAAGATGCCGGTGTGCGCTGCAGAGACCACAGGGTTTTAAAACAGTCATTTTAAAAAGAGGGAGGGAGAGATTATATAAGAACAGTAGATAATGGCTTTTTAGTTCCTTAACAGAAACAACATCTATTTCTTTTCAGCTTGAATCTGCTGAGTTGTCTCCTCATTGTCTTTATTTTTAGAAATGATTGCTGCTCTTTTTTTTTTTTTTTTTTTTTTTTCTTTTTTCCAAAACAAGACGGGAGCAGTGTTTTTGATACCGATACTTGTCACTTTCTGAATAAGGGATTTGATTTTTGCTTCTGTTTTTTGGTGCTTGGACACCTCTGCCTGCCTGTAATCTGTCTCAGCTGAGTCTGGAAAAGGAAACAAACCAAAAAACCCTCAACCCTGTATTGTGAACGTTTGCTGCAGAGCATTTCATGAGATGAGAAAAATCCGGAATTATTCTCCTTGAGCCAGAAGCATGAGAGGAAAAGAAATGACTCATCTGTTTACTTTTAAAAATCCTTTTTAAGAACTCAAACGCGCCTGATAAATTGTTAGCATTTTACCCAACCAGCCTCCACTATTAACTCCTGGCATTTCTGTAGTCTTGCACTTGCCGTAGCATCTAGCTGCCAAATCCAAGGATTTACAAGTCTCAGGAGAGACTTGGGAGATTTCCTGCTTCCCTGACTTGGCCATTTTTTAGCCTTTGTTTGTGGGTTTGGTTTGTTTGGTTTTTTTTTTTTTTTTTTCTTTCCCTTTTCCCTGTCCCCTTTGCAGGTTTGTCAGTCCTTACAAACAATCTATGCAAGCAAATCATTTCTGTAAGTGCCAGAGCCGGCGGAGCTCTTCGCGTGCTCTCAGACACAGACGCCTCCCCAGGCCGGGACCCCTCACCCATCCAATTTTGGAGTGGTGCTGCCCTCCTTATCACCCCGCCGCCGCCGTGCCTGCGGGACGTGGGGAAGCGCCTCACTCCTACCAGCCTGCCCGCCAGCAAGGACACGCATTTTGCTCGTAGGGAGCAGGATTCAGCTGCGTGCAGGTGAAAAATGTAAATTTGGGGTGCGCCGGTGCTTTCCCATGGTAACGGAGTTGAGACTGGACAAGTTTCCATGGTGATTATTACTACGGCAGGATGCACTGCACACTTTGGGAGAGGCACGGGCGGTGCCAGGCAGGGCGGCCAGCCCCCAGCCAAAGTCTGCCGGCAGCAGCTCGCGGGGAGGAGATTATTTATCCTTCTAAGTAAATGCATACGCAACACCATTAATTTGCTGCTTTTTTTTTCAGAGGGAGGGGGATGTTAATGTTTTTAGGGAATAGGCTGCAAATTTCACTGCAATCATGAATGGAAATCATCTCCGCCCTTTTTTAATTGGCATTTGCTTGGTTAATATAAAGGGTTGAGCTGTCAAAATAAATTTGAAGTTGCTTTGATTTTTTTTTTTTTTTCTTTTATTCTTTGGGTCTTCAATGAATCAGGTGCCTGGTTCGCGTTACTGCCTATCCAGTGCTGTGGCAGCGTGAGCTCCGGGGTCTGGTTTGGTTTGGTTTTGCCGTTGCCCGGGTGCGCTCCTTTCTCACCCTGCACACGGCAGTTTCCGAGGTGCTGTACACACCATGTGGCGCTCGCCTGTTTGCCTTTAGAAAATCCCACCGGGATGAGAAAGGGACAGGTATCGTAGGGGAACAGAGTACCCTTCGCCCATGGTTGAACATATCTTATCTGCGATATTTTTAGAAATGTTTGTTTGGGGGGGGCTTCTGTTGCGTTATAACAGAGCACTGTCGCTTGGCTCTGCTGTGCACCATCATTAGGTGAAGCTTTGTTTAAAAATGTGAGACAGAGAGCCCAAGTCCTTGTTTCAGGCTGTGTACTGAGGGGTTTTTTTTGGCTACAGGCAGTCCTTCAGACCTTTTAATTTATCTGTGTTTACGGCTAAATAGAAGTTCCTCAAAACTCTTCGTACAACACTCATGGATGTATGTATATCCAGCATCTCTGTATATATAGTAAACTGTATTATGGAGCCGTTAGCCTGAAGCGTGGAAACGTTTAACGGCTTTTCTTTGGCGATGGGGCCTTTAAAGGCAATGGCAAATATTATTTTAAGGAGGAGATTTATGCAGTGCCTAAAATATGTTTCTGGCTTGCAGGCCAAATTATGTGGGTGCTGATGCTCCTGGCAGCCTGGAGCCGCCGCGGGTCCCGCTGACGGCGATGTAGAGGCAGCACCAGCAGAGCCCGAGAAGCCCTGCAACATGGAGGAGCTGTACAAGGATGCCCCAAACCTGCCCATGGACGTCACCAGCCCACCCTCGGCGATGGCCAACAACAAGCTGGAGAACGGGGTGGCCCAGCTGATCACGGCGGAGGCCTGGAACATCAACTCGGCTGACCTGATGAAGAAGGCCCTGTCCCCGCTGGTGACGGTCCCCGCGCCCTCCATCCTGACACCGCCGGCCGAGTCGCAGAGCGGGGTGGCCCTGAAGGTGGCGGCCACCGTGCTGCAGCCCATCTGCCTGGGGGACAGCCCCGTCGTCCTGCCCATCCACCTGCAGGTCGCCGGCAGCGCCGCCCCGCAGATGCCGGCCACTAACGCCACCACCCCCTACGTCATGACCACCCAGGGCCCCGTCCCGCTGCCCGTCCTCCTGGAGCAGCATGTCTTCCAGCACCTGAACTCGCCCCTGGTGCTGCCCCCGGGGGCCACCTGCCCCGCCAGCCCCCTGCACGCCGGCCTCTTCCCCGGCGCCGCCGCTCCTGTCGGGCAGCCCCAGCTCCTGGACCCCAAGCCCTCTGGCCAAGCACAGGAGCCCGTCCTGCCCCCCGTCTTTCAGACGCCGGGGTTCGCCGCCGTCCTCCAGGACCTGTTTCCCTCGCAGGGCGCCTTGGGCTCTGCCCCTTGCCAGCCCCCCCCAGACTACGCCGCCCTCCCTCCCCAGGCCTTCAGCTCGCCCCTCTCCCCGCTGGTGCCCCCCGCCACGCTGCTGGTGCCCTACCCCGTCATCGTCCCCCTGCCTGTCCCCGTCCCCATCCCCATCCCCGTCCCCATCCCCGTGCCCCACGGCGCCGAGGCCAAGGCGGCCCCCGACCCCCCCAAGCCGCCGCTCTTCACCCCCCACTCCTGCAAGGGCACCCAGACGCCCCTGGAGAAGGAGGAGACGAAGCCCTTCGACCTCCTCCACCCGCGGGAGTTGCCCCAGCTGAGCCGCCACACCGTCATCAAGATGGGCGGCGAGAACGAGGCGCTGGACCTCTCCATGAAAGGGCCACCCGGGCCTCGGCCCGGCGAGGCCACCCCGCCGCCGCCACCGCCGCCGCCGCCCGAGGACGGGGCGCTGGACCTGTCCCTGGCCTCCTGCCGCAAACCGGCGGGGCCCCACGGGGAGGCGGCCGGTACCGGCCCCGCCGCCGAGGCCGGCGCTCACCCCACGCCGGACAAGCTCCCCGGCGTGGCCGCCCCCTTCGCGCCCTGCAAGGCCCAGGAGGCGTCGGGCAAGGCGGAGGGCAGGGGAGCGGGCGGCGGGGCGGCCGAGCTGCTGCGGCAGCCGCAGAAGTGGCTGGTGGAGCAGGCGGGCCGGGCGGGCTGCGAGCCCAAGGCCGGCAACAACATCGAGATCGTCAGCACCTCGCAGACAGCCAAAGTCATCGTCTCCGTCAAGGACGCCGTGCCCACCATCTTCTGCGGCAAGATCAAGGGCCTGTCGGGGGTCTCCACCAAAAACTTTTCCTTCAAAAGGGACCTGCCCCAGGACTCGGTGCTGCAGTGCTACGACGTGAAGAGCCCGCCCGAGCCCCGGGACAGCGCTGAGGCCCTCAGGAAACCCGTCAAAAACAGGAGCGTAAAGCTAAAGAAAATGAACTCGCCGGAGATACATATTCTTCCAATCAAGAAGCAACGGCTCGCTGCCTTTTTTCCAAGAAAGTAAATTATGGGTTTTTAGAATTTTAAGATTATTATGAGAAGAAGAAAAAAAAATAATAAAAAAGATGCACTTGGTTTTAAACTCATTTAAAACTTTAAACTATCTTTGTAAGTTATTTTTGGGGGAAGGGGGAGAGGATTGGATGTAGAGTCCCTATAAGCTGGGTTGGTTTTGTTTTGTTTTGTTTTTTTCTTTCGTTCTTTTTGTTATCGAATTTTGACTTTTCATGGGAAACTGAATAAAATGCAACCTATTTTTCAAGCAGATTGCACATTTTGCAGCTTTAATGGAGTAATGGATGAGTCAGAGTGGTAAGAGCTATTTTCACTGCCATAAAGTGCTTTGATGATGTAATTCTTCATAACGGTTGGTATGGAAATTTCAAAATAAATGTTTGTACGTGCTAATCGGTTGCGGCATTTTTTGTCATTTCTGAATCACTTTCAGTGTACAGAGGAGGTTTGGCAAAAAGTCTGTAAACTGTAAAGCGCCGCGCGACTGAGTTGTGATGAGCCTAAAATGTTAAGAAAAAATAGCAGGCTAAGAAAAATTATATTGTCCCACAGCACTGTCGGAGAGCATGTCACAACAGCCGCTAACGATGTGTCCAAACGAGCTTCCGGAGGAGCAAGAGCGAGTGAGCGGTACAGCCCAGTGCGCACCAAATGCCAGCTCCAGTGCGGGACACCCGTAGGAAACGGTCTTAATATTATTAAGTAATATCAGCAGTCATTTAAAAGAGAAAAGCCTAAAAGTCAGGGGAATTCGGTTGCTGGGGAGCAGGAGGGGAAGGAAAAGTCGCATAATTTTTCCCAGCCTGACTAACGATATATGGAAAAGTTGTTTATTGTTAGTTTTCAAAGTTTCTTTGATGGCTGAAATCAGTGCACGTGAAAGAGCAGACTGTGTAACTTTATCGCTCGGCAGTGTACAAGCCGCCCACGTCAATGGAGAAATGTGAATGTACAATTAAAATAAAAGTTCTGGTAGGTGATGGTTTTGCACTTGTGTATGGAAATGAGCTGGAGATGCCTTGTTGTCTGTCCGCTTTTAAGTTCACAGGGCTTGTTTGTGAAAACATGTTTCAACGGAAGGATGAACATGAGAGCAGAACAATTTTTGGTGGGCACTGTGTTTTTGGTAGCTATACCTGTTACACAGAAAAACCTCTTTTTTATTATCATTTCGAATTACATGTTCCCAGCACCGCACCAGTACTGTCTAAATAAAAAAAGCCACTGTAAGCCCATCAGCTGGATGCCATCATACACTAACTGTGCCTTCCTTTACCTAGCTGCAGCCAAGCAACTTCCAAGACCCCTCTTGGACAGTTTTGGGAAGGTTTTTGCAGTTGTTTGTGCAATGAGAAATTGCCCAAAGAAGTGGCTTCAGGGTTAGAACTCTAATCACGCCCTTAGGCATCGCTGCCATGCCGAAACCTATTGAAAAGTTCAGTGTCAGCAGACGCCAACTCTTCAGAAAATGCACCTGCATTAGGCTGTTAGGAAAGACATGCTGTTTCTCTTTTCCTGCCCTGACAGTCACTGCCCTCTTGCTTAATACTAAAATGGACAACTTTCACATAAACGTAACATCGAATTCTGTCAAACTCTTGGCTTTTAAGTATTTTTAAAGTCTTTTATTTTTCCCAAAGCTGGCAGAACCAACAACGTTCAGAAGAGAGTAAAGTGGTGATGGATTCATTAACGTTTAGTCATCTGACTATTTTTTTTAATATTATTTTTTTCTTAATTGAAAGGACTCTGCTACTTTGTTTTTCTCCTTCCAAGAAACCATGCTGATGAAATGTGTCATCTTTGGGTTTCAGTGCAGTGCAGAGGCTCAGGCTTTCAACATCCCTTGTGGTGTGGAAGGCAGCAAAGCTGAGCTACGTGAGCACGCGAACTAGACCCACACGAGACACGAACAACGCATGGCAATGGCGGGATAAGCAGTTTCTCCCTTAACGCTTGGGATGGCCATCCCAGTTGCCACTGCCCCACTCTGTTTCAGCTGAGCCCCTTCCAGAGTGTCAAAAACCCTCTGAAAATGTAGTTTTCCTTAGGGCTACCCCAGATGATTTAAAAAGAAGGAGGTCACAGCATTAGCCGCTGTCATTTTTATTTTGCAGTTGACAGAAGAAAGTGCAAAAGAAGTTTCTGGGATTTTTTTTCTTTTTTTTCTTTTTTTTTTAAAAAAAAGTACGTGCTTCTCACACTGGTGGTTACAGCTGCTGCACCGGCTGCCCTGACCCCTGCCATCTTTGTGCAGCCTCATCCCCCGCAGCATCCTCAGCAGGGGGAGGGAGGGTGCCCAGCCGCTGCGCACCCCTCGTGCTGGCCATGGGGCCCCTGCGGCAGGCAGAGCAGCGCCTAGCAGCGACACGGGCTGAGGTTCTCCCTCCTCTCCTTCTCAGGCCTTTACTGGGAGCTGTTGGCACTCCCAGTTAACTTCGATGCCCAGGCTACCTCCTGGCCCCCTCTGCACACAGTCGTCTGGTTTAATTGAATTTAGACCACAAACCCCAGAAACCCTGACAGCAAATTAGGCTAAATCAGCTTTATCCCATTATAAACCCGTAGAAACACTGTCAAAATACTCAATGCCTATGGGTATCTAATTCAGTTTAAAGCCAACTGGTACATGTTGTAAAGGCAAACCAGACCAGCAGCCATACAGATGCATCTTCCCCCAGGCTACTACAAGAGTAACTGCAACCTCCCCACTCTGAAACAGGCCTGAGGAAAACCAGAGCAGGCTCTAAATGTCTCTGCATCCCCTTCACCCTGCTCAGGACCAGCCCCCCTGGCTTTATGGGGCCATCTCCAGAAGGTCCAAGCTCCCCAGCACTGCTGGTCACCATGGATGCCCCCCACAAGGTGACCCAGGCTGGAGCCACCCCGTTAGAAATGGATGGAGAGAGTAGACTGGTCTTACCCACTCCACCACCTGGCTTTTCCATTGCATAAGCTGCAGTGATGGGGGGCATATTCTGAATATTTTCCTACTGGGAAGGCTTACGGCTGCTCCAGCTCGCTCCCCTGTTACCCTTTCATACAACCCCAGCCTTCAAGGCTGTGCCATGGGAAGAGAAGCCACGCACTGGTATCTCTCCTGATGCATAGCTCTGTCGGGTGAATGACAGTAAGTAGGGACAGTTTGCCTCCCACCACCCCTCGTGTGTGAAGCACGAGACCTACATCCCATGGGCATGCGGGAAAAGCGGCCACAGAACACGGTACTTAATTATACCAAGACTGAGCACTTCCACCTCCTCCTCCTCCTCCTCGCCTCTACCAGCAATTACAGATTTTGTATATTGGGCCATTAATTTTCTACAGGGCTACATTTTAACTGCTTCTGAAACTTCCATATGAGGAGAAGGGTGCAGCGCAGCACTCATGATATATGGAGATTCCATTTCTGGTGGCTGTTAATGGAGACATTAATACCTCTTGTGAAGTTGAAGGGAAAGTCATTAAACCATAATGGGAGGAGGAAGATGTTTTACAATGATGGGTATATGCAAGGTAGAGAGAGAAAGGAACAGTTCAGACCCTCAAGGGCACCCCTTGTTGACTCCAAACTTCTTTTGACTTGGAGTTTGGGTGTGGGCTTTTATTAGGGGGTGGGTGAGAGGGGAGAGGGTTGGGGGGGTGGGTTACCTTCCCCTCTGCTCTCTTCCCTACCCCATCAGGCAGGGGCTTTGCAGGAATCCAGATGCCGAATCCGAGGAGGGGAGCAGGGCTGCGCGTCTCAGATGAGGACAGGGTACACGGCAGGGTCAGGGGTGGGAAAGCTCAGATTCACCATCCTGGAGCTTTCCCCCGCGGGGCAACCGGTCCCCTTCCCTTACACTGCCCCAAGCACGGGCCTGGGGCCAAGCTGCAGCGCATGGAGTTACCTACTAGCAACAGAAATTAATCCAGAAGACGAATGAGCAGCTTCTCGGCCAGAAAACTTACCTGGAACAGGCAGTTTTTAGGCTGAGAGAACAGACAAGCAGCCAGGCAAGGAGCAGACAATTTCGATCGCAAAGAAAAGGTGGAGAACGGGGAGATGAAAGCAGGCAGTGCAAACTGATGTCAGAGCCACCTCCGGGCCTGTTAGCATCGCACCTTTATTAGTTATCAAGAAGGCCAGCCAGAGAACGAAAGGGAGAGGCAAAACTGCGGCCCTCGGCCACGAGCAGATGACAAAGAAAAGGAAGGTGTTTGCTTCAAAGACGAGAAGGCTCCAGGGCCGCTCGGTTTAGCGAGAGCGGGAAGGAGGGTGAGCCCCGAGCGCCGGGAGGGCCCCGCTTTCTTGGGCTGAAGGCAGCTGAGAAGCGAGGGCCAGGGGGAGGCCGAACATCAGATCACGCACACGCAGAGCACGCGAGGCCTTCCTGCTCCTGCAGCTGGGAAGAGCCTCAGCAAACCCAGCCTGGCGGGAGGGGGGGGCGAAGGGCAACGGCAAAGGCATCCATTTCTGGGTATCACAGGCCCGAAGTAACGTGTCTGACCCAGGCTCTCCTAACACCCATGCTCCTACCCCCTATAAACTCGATGTGCCAATGTCTCCCGATCAGCGGGAACTTTTTTAACCACTTCTACCCATTTTCTGCTCGGCTCCCAGAGAGCACTGGGATGATTACACCACCTTGCACAGGTTTGACCCACAGGGGCTCGAGGAGCAGCTCCACACACTTCTTGCATGCAAAAGCTTCCAGGGGAAACTGGCTGGCACAGAAGTGGCCACCAAGCACTGAAGGGAGCGATTCAGAGAAGTCTGTGCCCCTTCACTTGCACAGAGGCACCTCAGGACAGCGATCTGACAACAATAAGCAACTCGTTAACAGTCCTCATGAAGAATCTTAGACAATGAAAATAGCATAAAAATACATTGCATAATATCCTGGTGCCAGATGTTTTAGTTTCTTTTTGTGCTCAAGTTTATAAAAACATGCTGAAGGGCTCAGTCAAAGACCTTGTTTTCCTCTGGCTGGGATCAGTTCCGGCTTTCCCAAATGCAGCCAGCCTGACACTGCAACATGAATTATGTTAATTTGTGCAATCTGCTTTTTTCACTCACCTTTCACTTTTTTTTCCCAATCCTCCCCCCTCCTCTTATTTAAAGTTGCATTTCTCTTAAGACTATACCACATACTCTCAATGTTGAAGTTTGCAATTCAGAGTACTCCGGGGCAGTCCTACACACACAAACAAATCCCCTCATTTTAGTGCAGAAAACATTTTCCACAGTTGTTAAAATCCTGGTATCACAGCCCTGCTAGGAAAAACCATTCTGTTGTTGAACCATCTGAAACATTTCTTCGTGTTTGGGGAGAAAAATTACTAATTGCTAAAATATTTAGCACTGTTTTGTGCCCATATACCCTCAAAGCTCTCCTAGAATAGCATAATATCCTGGTACTGAAATTATTAGGATACCTTCAAACTAAGAGGGGAAAATTAAACAATCAAACAGCGGGGTACAATCTAATCACGTATCTGGAAGTGAGCACTACTTTCCAGGTAAAAACATTAGTTTTCACTGTTAAGAAGTGCATGTTTCTAGTGAAGCACTGGCAACAGACACATCACATCCCCGCGTTAGCCTGTGCCCGGCCCCAACTTTCTCCTGGGATTACTAATGTTCCTTAGCCCACAGCTGTCTCAAAACAGTCACATTTTCTGCATTGTTTCAATATCATCCTTCCCACCACATCCCCGTCAACAGAGTTCCCATCTTTCTTTGCTTAAGAACTGAAGATAGGCAATGTTTTCTCCTTGTCTGGCATCTCACAGAGCAAGGGTGTGTCACTGTGACACAAAACAAGGAGGTCCTTTCTGGAGCTTACGTACTGCAAGAAAACCCTTAAAAGTCCCATCAGTAAGCATAGCAAAGCTATTAAATTTCGAGGCTTCTGATAAACAAGTCATTTCTTGTTTATTGTGAAGAAAAAAAAAAAAAACAACAAGCCCTGCTGCATTCATATTTATAAAGATATCG